TAAAGAATTATCACTCATTACTATTGATATAAAGGCTTTTAGAGTAATTTGATTAAACTAAGATCTATATCAAAATAGATCTGTGTAGAACATATAATTTGGTATAGATTAAAAAATGAGATTGATAAAAGACAATATTTTAGATAAGGTACAAATATTTTGAATATGATGTCATGCCTTTTGGATTGACAAATGCTCTAGCTAAATTTTAGCATTTGATAAATGATGTTTTTCAAGAATTCTCAAATAAGTTTATTATCTGTTATCTTAATGATATCTTAATCTACTTCAAGACTTTTGAAGAATATGAAGAACATGTAAGATTAATCTTACAAAAGTTATGGAAGATAGGATTTTATACCAAATTTGAGAAATATATATTCTATTAGCTAAAAGTATAGATTTTTGGATACATTATATGCAATAAAGGCCTATTGATGGATCTAAAGAAAGTTCAAGCTATAACAGAGTATGCAACTACAAAGATAGTATGGGATATACAATGTTTCTTTGGATTTGTTAATTTCTATCACATATTTATCGAGAATTACTTCCAAGTTGCTGCTCTTCATACTCAATTGACATCCAAAGATAAATTGGAATAGAGATCTTAAGTACAAATGACTTTTTAAGATTTGAAGTCAACTTCTATTACAGCTCCAAAGTTAATACATGTAGATTTTATAAAGGCCTTGTATTTAAAAACTGATGTTTTTGACTTTGTATTAGTAGCTGTACTATCACAAATGAAAAAAGATAAAAAAAAAAAAAAAAAAAAAAAAAAAACTCCACTCAATTGTATTTTGTTTTAGAAAGTTTTCAATTGTAAAGATCAATTATGAGATTCTTAATAAAGAACTTTTTTTTTATTGTAGACTCTTTCTAAGAATGGTGTCACTTGTTAAAAGATGCTATGCAGTTGTGTTATGTGTGTTCTTGCTTAAGAACACATCAAGCGCATAATTGTGGAAGGTAAGTAGAAATGTAAGAATAATCCTACCAAGTCTAATAAAATCTTAAATAATCTTAAATAGACCTTAATAATCTTGATTTAACTTTAATTAATCTAAAATAAATTTAAAAGAAATTATAAAAAAAACACAAAGAAGTTTCAAATTAATTTCAAAGAAAAATAATAGAAAATTTAAAAGAATATAAAAATAAACCTTCAAAGCAATAACAATTATTTTAAAGAAATATTAGAAATAGAAACCTTTTAAATAAATAATAAAGATTATTTTTTAAAATATTAAAAATAGAAATCTTAATGGTATCCTAATTAAAATCTTAATTAAAACTTAACTTAATTTTAGGTCAAATATTAATTAAAATACTAATTAAAATCTTAATTAAATACTCATCAAATCTTAGGTCAAATTTTAATTGAAACACTTATTGAACCTCAATTAAATCTTAGGTCAAATCCTAATTAAAATCTTAATTGAATCTTAATCAAATCTTATGTCAAATTTTAATACAATTCTAAATCATAAATAAATCATAAATAAATCATAAATAAATCTTAATCAATTTTTAATCAATTTTTAAATCAAATCTCAAGAAAATCCTAATCGTAACCAAATCCTAGACCAAATCTTAAGTCCTAACTAAACTATAGACAAAACCTAAAGTAAATCCTTTAGCAAATTAGAACCTCAATAATTAATGACCAAACAATTGATATCAATTCAAAATTTGTACACTTTTTAATATCTTTGTTAGAAACAAGCATAAAAAAGATGAAAATTGATCGTACTTATCAATTAAAAGAAATGCAAGAAAATCTAATCGAGTATTAAGGGCCTTCTATTTCAACGTGAATGCTGAACTTTTAGCACCAATACTTCTTTGAACTATTGAATTGCTTTCAAATTTCACCAAAAAATTGAAAATCAAGTCCAGTATTGATGCAAAAAAAATTTACTTCAATCTAATTGACAGATTGCTAACGATCTTAGAAACATTCATTGACCCTAAAATTCTAATTTCTAAGATCTCAACCTACAAAAACCTTTACACACTTTGATCTAATTATTTAATTGACGTGTATATACAAATCATAAAAACTTGGAGTATTTCATGTCAACTTGGATTTTGAATTGCCACTACTCTCGTTGGAATATGTCATTATCTTGTTTTGATTTTTTGATTATATATTGACCAAAGAAGCAGCAAAGACTATCAAATGTTTTATTAAAGAGGTCATATTTTATTCTAAAGGCTGGAGAAGCAATATTTAATCAATAATATACCACTCTCTTGAAACTAAAACAATATTGTCTTTGTGCTACTTCTATGGTTACACATGTTGATTCAAGTACTTTTGAATAAATTTATAAAGCATTAGGTAAAGACTCATTACTTTATAATATCAAGTAGTACCTTCACAACAATAAGTTCAAATTTTTAGAAGATCTTTTGTATTGTAAAGATTTTTTATATATTCTAAAAAGACCAATGTGATTTTTTATTCTTCAATTTCATTATTATTTTCCAACTATAAAATATTTTGAATTTAATAAAATATTAGAACTTATTTCTTAAGATTTCTAGTGGCCTCACATATGAAAGACCAAGAAGAGCTTTGTTCTCTTAAGTAATATCTATTCAATATCCAAGAATTCTCATCATCGTCCTTATAGACTTCTACAACAATTGCCAATTTTAAAACAACCATGGTCTTTAGAATGAATGGATTTTATTGTTGATCTATTGCCATTAGTTATATTTGATGCTATCTGTATTGTTGTGAATTGACTTACGAAGATGGCACATTTTATTTTGTGTAAAAAAATAATATATAAAAAAAAATGACAAGACTTGTTTTTGACAATATATATCAATATCATGGTCTACTTGATAACATCATTTTTTATTGACGACCTCAATTTATATCAAAGTTTTAGAAATCCTTTTTTAAGATATTAAAGGTAGATATCAAACTTTCTTTTGCCTTCTACCTTCAAATCAATAGTCAAATAGAATAAGTCAATGAAGTTTTAGAGTAGTATTTGTGATGTACCATCAACTATCAATAAGATGATTGAACCTTGTATTTATTTTTAATAGAGTTTGCTTATAATAATATTCTTTATGCTTTGACTTAGCAAATACCATTTTGTTCCAATTATGGTTATCATCCAAAGCTTGATTTCTTAGATATATCAAAGAATAAAAATCTAGTAGTTAAAGATCTTACAAAACAATTCTCATAGCTGCAGATAACTTCGAAGCTCTATTTACAAGCAGCTCAAGATTCTTACAAAGCATCTTCAAATGAATTTAAAAAAGAATCTCCTACTTTTCAAGTTGGAGATAAAATATGTTTTTTTTGACAAAATATCAAGATCAATTGACCTTGTGATAAGTTTGATTATCTAAGATTGAAATAGATAATCATGTAGAATATAAAGTGGAAAACATCCTTGATTTTTGGCAAAGAAGAGGCAAGTTAGAATATTTTATTCATTAAAGTGGCTAGAATATCAATGAGAAAATGTAGGAATCAATAGAAAATCTAGTTTATGCACTGCAAAAGGTACAAAACTTTCATCAATGTTATTCTAAAAAATCTAAATCTATTTTAAGATGACTTTTCTATGAAATTATTGCTATAATGTTGTATATAACAAAGAGAGCAGGTATTGCTGATATCAACCTTAAAGTTTAGTATATTCAATTTATGATCTAATATGTTGAATTAGAGAGTATTTAGAAAGTCCTTAAATCATGAATCTCAAAATAAAGCTAGAATTGGAGCTCTCCTTAATAATGCTATTAAGTCAACCATTCTAACCCTCACAACTTTTGCAAGATCATCCTCAAGATGAAGCTTGATCTTCTTAAGAGAAGAAATGCCCATACTACAATCAACTCAAATAAAAAAACCTCAAAGATGATGCTCAAACTTTAGTCATTCTATTGTAAATATGAAATCAATGTTCCTCGTGGAACTTGAAGTTAAAAAAAGAGATGATGTCATTGACATCCAATAAGAAGATTTTTAAATATTCTTTAAATATTCTATTAGATTTTAGAAGGTTTTAGAAGTTTTTAAAATATTCTAATAAGAGGTTTTATAAAGATTTTAAGAATATTTTAATAGATTCTAAAAGATTCTAGGAGAATTAAAGAAGTTGTTAGAAGAGCTTCTTAAGATTGCTTTATCTTCAAGCAATATGGAAACTTCTTTAGAAGCTTCTTAACTTTGCTTCATCTTCAAATAATATAGAAACTTCTCAAGAAGCATCTTAGAATTGCTTTGTCTTCAAACAACATGTAAACTTCTCAAGAAGCTTCTTATTACCTAATATATATTAGAGTCGAGGTTATGAGGATCTTCAATCTCAACAACACATTTTCTTAGAATTCTAACTCACATTTCTTAGTGTTGATTTTATACTTATCTGGTTTAATCAAGTTCTTACTAGCTCTCTTGTTGAAACTCTTTTGTTCAACTTTTTCTTTAGTTTCATGTATAGTGTATCTATGATTTTTTTTTTTTTAATATTGCTTGCTACTTGTGCTATATAAGAAGGTTCCTAAAACTCTCAAAAGTCAAATATCTATTTCAACTTATATTAAAATCTCCTAAAATATTTTAAGAGTATTTTACAATTTATAGAAGGATCTGAAAGGATAAAGAAGAAATTTTAAAATATTTATAAATTAATATTTATTTCATTAATTTTTTCTTTGAATATAAGGATTTTAATTTTTAAAATCAATATCAATTTTTTATTGTGTTTTTTTTTTCTTTAATTTTAACAAAATCTTCTTATCAAAAAATTAATACTATTAGGATTTAAAACTAATCTAATTCCATAATTATCACAAAAAAAAAATGTAAAATTCATTCCAATGTACTAAAACCAAAAAGCTTCTTTGTTTTTTGTTTATAAGTTTTAATCATGTTAAAAATTGACTCAAGATATGCATAAAATAAATATATGAGCATATTTATATATATATATATATATATATATATTACCATATGTTGATTTATATAAATTTATTTTTCCATTAATATGATAATATAAGTTGTAAAATATTCAACAAGCTATCAGAACCCTTGGTTCAAAATTTGCAACAAGCCAGCCTTCACAACACGCTTAGAATTCTCCCCTTTCACACCACACCGGCTTCGTCTCCGGCCCTATTCCCTTGCCGAAAGTTTGATCTCTCGCGTGATGGTCGATGCTAGAAATTTCAAGCCTCAAAATGGGTAATCCGAGAGTTTGGTTTGATGCAGCGAGAGATGAACTGGGTAGTGCGCTAGGGTCGATTTCTTCACAAAAACTGATAGCGGATGGCGTAACAACGTTGTACCGATGTGGATGGGCTCAGTGATCGACGACGACGAAGACTGATACTTTCGAGGAGTCTTTGTATTAATCTGTCGTAGCAAATTTCCGTTGAAGGTGTGGCTTACCCACCAGCGAAATTTGACACCTGCGGTGAATTTGAGGGTTTTACTCCGTTAGTATTGAATTTCATGTTCAGTCTAGGAAGACTAGAAAGGTATTCCAAATGCTACAGTTCTGAGTGCCGGACTCTAGGTGATTTTCGGAACGGGTGAAGTGGCTGACACACTCGAGAAGTTTTGTACCAATTGCTCGGACAAATTTTCGACAAAAGTATGGCTTACCCAATAGCTAAATCGAATTCCTAGGGTGAGTTTGTGTGGGATTAGGGTATCACAACTCAGTTGGTATTGAGCTTGCAGTTTTGTTCGAGGAAGAATAGAAAGGTTTTCCACTTGCTTCAGTTCCGAGTGCCGGACTCTGGGTGGTGTTCGGATCGGGTGCAGTGGGTGGAATTTTACGGTGCTAGGAACACAGATGGTCCAGCTTCGTGCACAGACGTAACTGTTGATGGATTTAAATCGTAGACAGGAGCAGCGCCACGAAGCGCCGCAAGCGTGGTAATCCAAGCCAAATAAACGGCCGCCACTCTGGCGGTAGAACAGAAGGATGTCTTCATACCTCAGCGCTAGTGTTCAGGACGTCGGCCGAACCTTCACTTGGTGTTCACAGGTGCTGGATCATTTCGTGCAACTCTTATCCGGATGTCAACCATAGTTGACTGCCACTATTGTGTGGGAATGACTCACTCATTCTGACAAAGTCAAAAGATTTTTTCATTACACGCGTCCGAGATGTGAGCTCTGTGACCCCACGCAAAAGGAAAAAATAATATGGACAAGGTTGTATAAGCTGCGCCATCGTAGATTTGTCCTCGACGCTTGCTGTCACGGAATTTTCGAGAATCGTCTGGAATGATCCAGATCGGCCTAAATTTGGAAATGCCGAGTTATTCGAAGTATCGCTTTCAGATGGTGAACTGGTTGAATTTTAACAGGAAGCAATCCGTTGACGACACGACATCTTCTCGCTGTTGTCGAAAAGGTAGTAGACATTCTCTGGGAAACAGTCGCGGTGCATTTCCGTGACGTGTCCCGCAAGCATCGCTGAGATACCCGTGTATATATATAGAGGTGAGCCTCATCTTTGTTAGTTTCAGGATTCTTTGAAGTCGATTACCCGCAGTGGTCCAATACACAAAGAGAGAGAGAGAGAGTTATAAGCTGTCGATTGTTTGAGTGATTGCAAAGACAGTTGAAGCAGAGTTTTAGAGAGTGAGACGATTGTTAGAAGAGTCATCAACTAGGTTGAAAAGAAGTATTTGCTTGCCATGGTAGAGAAGAACGTGGGTCCTGACGGTAGAGTTACAGCTGCGCGTTACAACTTGAGTGTGACGAAGAAAGAGTTCAAGACCAAAGAAGCGAAACCTGCTAGTCCCAAGTACAAAGGGGTTCGTATGCGGCAATGGGGAAAGTGGGTATCTGAAATTAGAGAGCCAAACAAGAGGTCTCGGATATGGCTGGGGTCGTTTCCTACGGCGGAGATGGCAGCCAGAGCGTATGATGCTGCACTGGTGTGCCTTCGAGGCCCGACCGCTTCATTGAATTTCCCGGATTCTCCCCCACAGGCACTTCCTGTGTGCAATTCGCCCAAAGACGTACAAGTCGCCGCTGCCGCAGCCGCGGCTGCTGCAGAGCCCTGCACGCCAGTGAGTCTCCCGGCGCAGCCTGCTGCACAATCCCTGGAAGCGCAATTGAATGAGATGGAGACCGAGACGAAGGAATCAGAGAGTCACGATCTGGAGGAGTCATCCGCAAGCAGCACGGCGAATTCATCACCGTCCACACCTGGCTCGATCACCACTCTAGAGGACGTGGACCTGGCGTTTCTAGCCGACATGGATTTCATAGACTTGCCACCGCTGGAACCGTTCGACATCAATCAATCGCACCAGTCGTCGTTTCCAGAGTCTGCCGCTCTCACGCAGGGCGACAATCCACCTTACTGCCGTGTATCCTCAGGTCCAATTCTGGCAACCGACCTGGAGTTGTACAAATTGCTTTACGGTGTAAAATAAACCCAGTTTTAGGGTTCAAATTCTTTCCCTCTCTTTGAGGAGAATTGATACATATATTTACAAGGTGCTACACGGCGTCGGAGTCCCGCAACAAACCATACCACTAGACTTCCTCGTCTTCTGGTGGAATCGCGGAAGCAGAATTTTCCATTTCGATCACCACAATTCCGCACCCCTTTGAGTGTGTAGTCTGGACAGACGATGCATCGAGCTTCAATAACGAGCTGGGTCCGCCTTTTGTTACCCAATTTTGAGTAGAGTTTCTTCCATTGTAAACCAACAACAGCAACAAGCAGGAGTAGTAATAGCAACAAGCAGGGAGAGGAAGCTATGGATGAGTGCAGCAAGCATTGTATTGTATTATAGGCAATGTAGACACAGATACTTAGTCGAAGTTGGTGTTTTTAGCATTGACAGCAAACCTCGCAACAATTCTTTGTAGGCACAAGATTCGTTTTAGAGTTAGGGTTAGAAAGATGATGTGAGAGGAGGACCTAAGACCCCAGGAAGGGGACCTGAGACAAACAATCACGATTCATTTTAGCAATTTAAACTAATTCACCTCCACCGGGGCTTCTTTTTGCCTTGCTCCGGTGTTGAGGTATTCTTCAATGTCTCTCTCTCTCGCTTTAGGGTTAGGGTTTAAAGAGCCCTCTTCTTCTGCTTTGTGTGGGTTTTTGTTTTTTTTTTTTTTTTTTTTTTTGGTTTCATGTGTTGGAATTTGTAAAAAGAAACTTGTTAGATCAAGTGTTGATTTTGACTTTTTTGTGGTTGTGAACAACAAATTTGTTTAGTTAAGTTTCGATCTGGTTGATAATTATACAACTTAGTTACAGAAAACATAAATGGATTGTCACATAAATAAGTATTATGAGATTGTGAGATGTTAAAAGAGAATCACTTTTTTATCACTTTCAAAATCTTTGAACCAACAAAGCCAAATGTTAAAAATATCAATAACATTCAAATATATTCTACCATACAGAAAAAAAAAAAAAAAAAAAAAAAAAAAATGAAATGAAATAATTTTAAAAAAATCAAATCAAATCAAAAAGAATGTAGAGTATATATCAACATCACAAGTGATATTATTCCAACAAAGTTTATTATCATAAACTTTAAATTTATGAATAAAAATTTAAGCTAAACCATTGATTTATTATTTCTAAACAAGTTTATTAAACCATCTGTTTAATGTTTCTAAAATATATTTTAATCATCTCAACAATTCATTTATCTTTTATGATTATTTTTATAAACAAAATACATTGCCAATTGTGTGTATATATATATATATATATATATATATATATCTTTGAATGCATATTTATTTTTCTTTCTTTTGTGTGTTTATTTCTCTTGTTTTTCTATATATATATATATATATATATACACGCTTAAACAAAATATAAAAAATACTACTAAATCCACACCCCCCTCCGCCCATATTCTACATATTCTTCTCAATTGCAAGGACTTTATTTATGTTATATTCAGTTTCATTAAAGATGTGCACGATCCAAATTGATAAAGTTGAATTCATGCAATGACAATAAAGTCTACAAGGATCCTTGTAAAGATGTAGAATATGGGGTGGGAAAATTTAGTAAAAAGGCGGGTCGATTTAGTAGTTCCTTATACTCATAAAAATATTTAAGTAAATATTTTAATAACCAAAAAAATAGTGCAATAAAAAATTGTTGTCGTTTTATCCGTCTAAAGCTAATTTCCAAAAAAAAAAGCTTCCACTTGTAATAAATATATTTTTTTTAAATCGTAGAAAAAAAGAAACCAATTCATAGAGCTCTCCCCCAATAAATAAACAACATAACATAACATAATATAGTAGAAAATATGAAATGAATGGTCCAAAGTTTTCATCCTTGTGATGAACAGAGACTCTCGGACAAACTCATCCATCATGCAGCTCGTAACCCTCTAATCACTTCACGACGGATGAAAAAATGAAAAAATCTTCGCCCTAGATTGTCTATCTCGAGTTTCGTGTCCGCAAAAGTAGTTGTTGATCGTTGTCAGCGATGGCTTCCAACCCAGGAAAGGATCTTCGCGTCTCTGCCTCGCTTGCGCAATTCGCCACTTCCTCACTCATTCTGACAATCGCCCCATCCAATTGTTTCGCAGCTTCTCACGTCACGTTGACGTTACCGTAGGTCGGAATCCTGGCACTTGCAGGAGAGCTCTCTGCTCTATTGCTGGGGATTTTGTTGTGTTGGGTTTTGTGTGCGGAGGTGGGTCTTGGGTGGGCGGAAGCGAGGGAGAATCGAGCATGGAGTGGCGGGAGTCACGTAATTGATGGTTGTTTGTTTGTGTAATTGTTGAAATGAGAAGCTGGGGGAGCGTTTCTCCATGTCTCGTGCTACTACTGCTTGGCTTGTGCTTGGTGGGAGTGGTGTTGGTGGGTGGTAAAGAGTGTAACAATGTCCCCACGGAGCGTGTCTCGCATACCATTCGTGCTCGGGGGATTGAGAAAGACGCCACTTCCTTGGGTGAGGAGGCTGTTGGTGCTGCAGACGATGGGGCCTGGAAAGGTGGGCAGGATTTGGGAGGTGGGGTTCTGGCGTTGCCGAAGCTGGGAGCCCTCCTCGGGTCCTGGAGGAAACTCCTGGCCTCTGATGGATGGAACCAAAGGAGAGAGCGTGACGAGTCCTTGCCTGTGAATTTGAATCGCGCGGTAGGGAATGAAATCGACGATGATGTGTTGGTGGAATTTGACGATTGGGGGCAGGCTTGGAGGACAATTGCAAAGTCTCTGGTTGACGGGAATGATGCGAAACGAGCCGAGATTAGCAGGACACATGTTACATTGCAATCGCAAGTTGCGGACGAGATTGTAACACGGCGAGGGAGCTCGGAAAGTGTCGTGGATCGGACATCCATCCCGGGTGATCGAATTGTGTCACAACCAGAGCCGGCCTTTGTGGGATTGTTGAAGGATGTTAGCTTGCACAAGGTAAATAAACAAGAGCTGAAATGAGCCTCAGCTTCAAGTGTATTCTGATCCTTTCTTTCTTACATCTTTTGGCTTGAAAAGATGTAGTGAGCAAAAATTTGGGAAATGGTTGAAAACTATTTAGTTTCTCTGCATGTAGAGTAATTTTAAAGCTGTTCTCTGGTGCTGCACAGGTGAGACTGGGGGCAGACTCACCTCAGTTTATGGCCCAGAACACAAATCTGCAGTACCTGTTGGAACTGGATGTAGACAATATGATGTGGAGCTTTCGTAAGGTCTCCAATTTGAATGCTCCAGGCCAACCATATGGTGGCTGGGAATCGCCAGCGTCTGAACTTCGTGGTCACTTTGTCGGTAAGAATGTATTTTCTTTCCTTATCTTGGTTATTGTACTGGCACAATGAAAGAATTGCCATTTTTCTTTTTCACAGGTGTGGCCGATAGGACCTAGTTTAGATTTGTAGGGTTTAGATTAGTTCTGACTGCATTTGGCTTGCACGATGGTTTATTCTTCATATTTTGAAGCTTGTTGGGTCGGTATCCTCAGGTCATTATTTAAGTGCATCTGCGTTGATGTGGGCAAGTACACATAATGAAGTACTCCATGAGAAGATGAATGCCCTTCTTGGAGCTTTAAAAGAGTGTCAAATGAGCATTGGGACGGGCTATCTTTCTGCATTCCCATCTGAATTCTTTGATCGTTTCGAAGCCATTGAGTATGTTTGGGCGCCATACTATACAATACACAAGGTACAGACGATTACTTCAAGGCATTGGATCCGTCCTGGTACATCATTTATGTTGAATTCTGGGAGCTGTGATGCAGCGATGTATTTCACACTGGTGTGCAGGTTTTCATCGCTGTTGAAACAGAAAAAAGACTTAGGAGGATTATGCGATGAGAACTTCAATATGGAATTGCAGCATCTGCAAAGCTTTTGAGTTTCAAGTTTTGAATATTGTCAATATTTGAAGGGTACTAAAACGAGCAATTATGCTGCTGCTTTACCAGATCATGGCTGGGTTGCTGGATCAATACCTCTTGGCTGGATCCAAAGATGCTCTGGACATGGTCGTGGAAATGGCTAATTATTTTTATAAAAGGGTCAAGACAGTGATTGAGAAGTTCACCATAGAACGTCACTGGCGATCTTTAAATGAAGAGACAGGCGGTATGAATGATGTCCTTTATCGATTATACACTGTGACGGTAAGCTCTCCAGTTGTTCTATTACGTGAAGATATTGCGTCTCGCTTTCCTCTACTGTATTACTTATTTAAGAAGGGCATACAGAGTCGAAGTTACTGGGTTATTCTGTGCCCTCTTATAAGTGAGATCGCAACCTCATCGTTCTCAGTTTGCAAAATAGGGTGGTGTTCTTTCTTAACGATTCGAAGAGTCTTTCTGAAGCAGGGTGACAACAAGCATTTGGAACTTGCGCATCTTTTTGATAAGCCGTGCTTCCTTGGTCCCCTTGCCCTTCAGGTACTTCTTGCTCTATCTTACAGCCAAGTTCTGCCCTGACCACATGCCAAAGCTGATACGTCACATACAGTTAGGCTGAGGACTGTCACGTTTCCTTCTGCAGGCGGATCATCTTTCTGGTTTTCATTCGAATACACATATTCCAATTGTTGTTGGAGCTCAGATGCGTTATGAGGTGACCAGCGATCTAATCTACAGAGTATGTTACCCCCCTAACGCAATAGTTTCCCAAAGTTGATTAAGTCATGCTCTGCGGCATACACTTTCTTGGTAGCTCTTTTGAGCTGAAGTACAACTGGCTGTTTGAGCAATCCAAATCTCCCAGCACCCACACAACTGTTCACTGTAGCTAGTTACTAGTTCCGCTGTTCCTACAAACATGGGACTTTAATTTTTTGGTTCTGTGATGTTTATTGCGTCATTGAAACATGGTAACTTACTGAATACCATGTTCTTTCAGAGTATAGCAGAATATTTTATGGGAATAGTAAACTCGTCCCACAGTTACGCAACGGGTGGCACTTCAGTCTCTGAATTCTGGTAAGCAGGTTTCTGCGTCTTCTACGTGAAACCTGTGAGCTTAGCTTCACGCGTGCTACTGCAATTTTTAGTGCTTGTCCTTTTCACCCTCCTCTCTCGTGTTTCTGATAATAGACACTGAGAGCAGGACGGATTCAATGCGCCAGGGTGATACTCTTCACACAGAAAATCAGGAGACTTGCACCACGTACAATATGCTCAAGGTCAGTCCCGGGCCTTTCCAGTCACTTTGTGGAATTATGAATTTTACGGACTTTTTATAACCTTTGTGCTCATCTTATTTCCATTTACAGTTATCTCTTGTTGCCCCTCAACTATATGTGCCATGAAATTGTGAGTCTCTTAGTTTCCTGCCACTAACTCATCCAGTGACTTCACCATGAAGTTCTGCATAATTGAACAATCTATCACTATTTACCCATGATTTTCACAAAATTTTGCTGAAGGTATTGAGTCGGTATGGACAAGGTGTAAGGGCTTAACATCATCATGCAGACTTAGCACCTATAATAACTGCAGATAATATCAGACTGATTCTTTACCATCATTGTTCTTATGATACCTCCTGCTGCAGATTGCTAGGACCCTATTCCGATGGACCAAAGATATCAAATACATGGATTACTATGATCGAGCACTCATAAACGGTATCCTTGGAACCCAAAGAGGGCAACAACCTGGAGTGATGATTTACATGTTGCCTATGGGGCCCGGTGTTTCGAAAGGGAGAAGCTATCACGGTTGGGGGAATAAATTCAATTCCTTCTGGTGCTGTTATGGAACAGGTATTTTCCTACTTCAAAATTTGGTGTACGTTGCATGTTTCGGATCCATAGTTTTTGGTACTTCTTAGATGAGTCTTGGACGCTCTTGCCTATTGAGATTGAGCACATCGTGTCGATTTGTGTGCTTGAGTGCAGCAATTGAGTCATTTGCAAAACTGGGTGACTCTATCTACTTTGAAGACGATGGCGAGATCCCCTCAGTGTATGTTGCCCAGTTTGTGAGCAGTGACTTCGTATGGGATTCTGCTGGGCTCGTGCTCCACCAGTCACTTAAGCCCTTGAATGCCGAACAGTCCATTCTTGAAGTAACTTTCTCTTTTTCCCATGCAACCATTGTCCGTGCATCTCAGGATGCAGTAATCCATGTGCGGTTACCATCATGGGTGAGGGGATGCCGTGCTCATCTGAACGGCCAAGAGATTGAGTCCCTTATTCCAGGTATGAAGCACTCTTTGCATCATGTAGATCAATGCTGCTGCATTCTGTTAATGTACAGGATTAGTACAAATTAAAATTAAAAATGGAATATAGACTACTGCTCTTGTAGCGCTAACTAGTATGGACCTTACAACTAGCTGATATGTGTGATTGATGATTGCAAGGCAAATTCTTGAGTATTGCGCGGGCTTGGAGTTCTGATGATGAACTAGTGCTTTTGCTGCCCATGAGCCTCGGATTGGAGAAGATTCAAGGTACTCATTCAGTAAAATATTCCAATACTTCGCTTGTATTCTATCCTGGTTCACACAACATTAAGGAAGGTTGTATGGGATTCTTGCCTGAAACGGGCAATACTTAGGATATTAACATGTACCAATCCTGTGCATCAACAGAATGCTTAGTCTTTGCTTTCATGATTGAGCCCCCATGTTTTCTTGGGGTAATTTGTTCACCAGTCGTTCCAAAGCCAATAGGTTCTGAGCAGTTGATTGGATGGAACCTGCAGATGACCGAGCTCAGTACTCAGCATTGCATGCAATTATGTATGGTCCCTTTGTGATGGCTGGACTGAGCACTGGCGATTGGAAGCTTGGTCACAAGGAAAATTTGACCCAGTGGGTATATCCTGTTCCAGCTGCTTATCACAGCCAGTTATCCACTTTCTCCCAATTTCATGTGAACGGTGAATACAGTGGCTCCCTTTACCTGGCCTGCAACAACGGCACTGCCATTATGCGCTATGCCCCAGAGGATGGGACTGACGAGTGTGGACTTTCAACCTTCAGAGTATCTGATCCTTTTGGCAACTATTCCCAGCTATCTGCTGGGGATGATAAACGGCTTGTCTCGCTGGAGCTTTTTAGCCAACCGGGGATTTTTCTGCAACACAACGGCGAGGACAAACCCATCTCCACTGGACCCCCAAGTTGTCTTCAACACAAAACAATGCACTCGGTAAAGAAGCGTCTACAGATGCTTGGTGATTGTCCGGCCAAAGGGTCTGTGTTCTTTTACCTTCCAGGCTTGACTGGAAAGAGCGGCACCGTATCATTTGAGGCTGTTGATAAGCCTGGTTGCTTTCTGAGTTCGAGTTTTAGTGGATCCTCGGTGCTAGGTGGTGTATTTCTACGTTGCAAGACTTCAAGAAATGACAACACCTTGAATGCTTTTAGTACATTTGATGTTCAAATGGGTGTAGCGGCATACCATCCTGTGAGCTTCATTGCTGAAGGACAGCATCGGAATTTTCTTCTTGCTCCCCTGAATTCTTTGCGGGATGAAAGCTACACCATTTACTTCGACATGGGGTGACTGTACGAGAGTTGGCATTGATTACTGCAACAAATAATCCCGTACATGAGGTTTGTAAGAAAGTTTGTACGGAATTGTTTGTTGCTCTACTCGTAGTGCGTTAAAGATGGTAACTGTGTTCGAAGATGATTATTGATGAACAGTGTTTGAAGTTTAACCAGATACTTTTATGGCAGTAAAGGAACAAACGTTCTCTGTGTACTCTTTTTTTTAGATTAAAAAAATTATCACAACTGACGTTATACAGGTACTTCCTTGTATCTCCCACTTATTGATTGCATTGTAGCTTGCTGCAAGCAAATCTCTAACTACTCACCGATCTGGATCCTTTACTTGTGAATGCAAAAATTACATCCCTGCTCCACTTGAAATTTTCCCAGAAAATTGAGATTCTAACAGACTTCAAAATTCAGGATAAACTTGCAAGTGGTGAGCGAAGTCTGCAAAATGAGGTAGAGAAGAGGGTCAATGAATAAACCTTCCAGAAACCCTACAAATTCCTCTTCAATCAATTTTGTGGTCTTTTTCAGCAATTTTGAAACAAATATTTTTGTGCAAATCTAACTCTATGAGTTATGTATGTTCTTTAATTTAAAATGCATGCATAAATTGTATCATGAATAATCCTTATGGTACTTGGATGATTTCAGCCTTGAGGTAAAGTGCCATGTCACTTTTACCTAGATTTTACATCCCAAATTTTGACTCAAGTCGTAGTTTGAACCAGATAATCCATTTAATGCAGTTTCCCATAAAGGGGTCACCTTTTGTAGCGCATTCTGATTGTATCAAAAATTCAAGTATTTATTACTATTTTAGACTATGGTGAGTAGAAAGCTGATGCATGTCTTGCATTTCATTAGCATATAATGAGAGGTTATTAAAGGCATTGTTTATTGGCCACTTTTCAATTGTATAGGGATCAAAATGGTAAAGATCAAAGTTTTCTTTTGGAAGTTCAATTGATACAAAATCTTAAGGTTGATAATTCCAATGCTAATGTATTGCTTGTATTACTTGCCTTTATAGGTTGTGATGTGGTTTAAACTAGTTGGTTCATTAGTATGATTGAGGGAATAACGTATTAATTGGATAATATAGTATTCTTTGATGAAACAAAGAATAAGTCAATTGCAATAGCAACTTTATCATCATTATTGCTAAAGGCTCTATTAAAGGCTAAAAAATAAAAGTGTAGTTTGTTAAGAAAATTGGTGCTTAATTTGGATTTGAGTAGATTGATTTTGGAATATTAGGTTTTGTCAAAGAACATTATTTGTATCTTCTTATAAGTAGGTCAGTATATTTTGTATGCTTTCATGTAACTATAGGTAGACTCCAAGGCTGAATCATGATTTTGATTTATTTTTTTCTGTACAATCTTGTTCCATAAAGCACAAGGACCAAAATACCTTTATATTGCTAAAGTTGGGCTTGATCCCAATGAACATTTCATAAAAGGTGTTGCCTTAGTTTGCTATAATAGGAATAGAATTGATGAGCTAAATAGCAATATGAGCTGCTTTTGTCTAGAGAAAGATAGGCACTTTGCTGTCGATAAGTATTGATCTAATTTTGTTTAATATGTTGTAATTTTCCTATTGAGTTCTCTATTTTGTTGGTATGTCCAAGTTATACTAAGCTATCAAATGATGCCATACTTTTGGATGTACATTGTGAATTTAGTCGATATAAATTTTCTTACTTTGTCTAATTTCATATTAAGGACTCAAATCTTAGAAAAAGAAATCTTCAATACAGTCTTGTATCACTCAAAAGGACTAAAAAATTACTCGAAGATAATAAACTAGAATGGCTATTGCTAAAGACAAAAAAACTAAAAAGGCTTGAAACAAGACTAAAGACTAGAAAGATGTTGACAAGGAAGAAAAAGGCCTCACTCTTACCTCCATATATATTCTTTAATTAGGAGTTATGTGCCAATTTTCTATACAACCTCCAATATGTGTTGACTTTGTTAGACACATGTCTTAACTTGCAAGGTAAGTTTTTTATATGTACGTTACATAGTTAGCTTATTCCATAAGCTATCAATAAGTGTGATGTTGTTTCTAATCTATCAATCAACTACAAACACATGTAAAGTCAAAACCACCTCAACAAAGCTTCCACAAAGCTTTTTTAGAAGATATTATGAAATTAATCTATATTTATTTATTTCTACTAAATCATATTAATAATTATTAGAATAAATATATATGTCTGTGATATTACCTTCTCTTTTAAGGACGAATTCCATGAGGAGCAACCATCATTTTTCATTGATCTTATAATTCTTCATCTTAGTTTTGATGGATGTCATCAATAAAAAGCTTTAAACCTCTTTGCTGCATTTGTAAGATTCTTTGTTGGCTTCCATGTGCATTCACTAATATCATATTTGAGCCAATAAACAAGATATTTCAATCTATTTCGACACTGCCTAGAATCTAGGACTTCTTTTACTTCAAATTCTTGATTATTATCTACTTTTATACAAAGAAGTGGCATTTGTCTTCTTTCCAAGATATTCACTATCTTATATAGCTTAAAAAAATGTATGTAGAATAAAAAATAGATTTTCATAAATTTTGATAGATATAATTAATAAGCAATATAATTGACTTATTTATAAATAGATAAAAATCAAAGCTTCCTATAGTCCAACTTGTCATAAAGACAAATAGTGTTGATATTGCAATAAAATAGCCATACTTTGTCACTTACATTGAATTATGGTTGTTTTTTATAATAGGCATGTGCATTGATTTTTTTTTTATTTTTTATTCTTGAACTTCTTTTAATTATGACTTCATTATTACATTTAGCTTTGATAAATAATTTTTCAAATCTTTTGCTATAAGATTATTAACTTTTGAAAAGTCAAAAGTATCAAATTGTAGATGATAACCATAATTGGCAAAAAAAAGTGTTTGTTGAGTAGTAGAATGTATCAAATTATTGTATACAAATTCTACCAATGATAAAAGAGTTGTTCAATCATCTTGATGATAGTTGATGATATACCTCAAATATTGCTTCAGAACTTAATTCATCCATTCCAATTGCCTATCAATTTAAGGATGAAAAGTTAAAGAGAGCTTTATATCCATCTGTTAGGGACATAGTCCTTATAACCTTCTAGAGACAAGTTTCTAGAACCTTCTAGAAGCAAGTCTCTAGAATCTTCTAGAAGCTTCTTAGTTGGTAGAAGATATTAGGGACATAGTCTTTAGAACCTTCTAGAGATAAGTTTCTAGAATCTTCTAGAAGCAAGTCTCTGGAACCTTTTAAAAGCTTCCTAGTTGGTAGAAGTTGCTTGAGAAGCTTCCTAAATAGGAGTATATATTGGAATCGAGGTTGAAGAGTTCTTCAGTCTCGACAACACATCTCTTGGAGCTTTAGCTTACCTCTCTGGTGTTGTTCTTGTATTCATCTGATTAATCTAGTTCTTGCTAGTTCTTCTTGAACTTCTTGTTAAATCTCAAGTCTGTATTTCTGTGTCTGTGACATTTTGTCGAGATTGCACTCACCTTAGATATCAGAGCTAGTTTCTTCCTCGTTAGAGTGTGGATTACCCCTCTGCTTAGAAGTGTACTAGCATTTTAGAGGTTGCGGATTATCCTCCTCTAAATTGATACTTCTTTTGTTCAATATTGGAGTCTTATTCTTCTTGGAGAAAGTGGATTATCCCTTTTCTTGAAGCTCTTAAGGTATTTTAGAGGATGCGGAGTACCCTTCTCTAAACCAATATTGTCTTCTTGTACAGTCATTTCTGTCTTTCTCTTAGAATGGCCGGAGGCCAAGACATTAGTATGACAAAAAGTTCGGAGTCCAAGTTGGATGCTATTATGAATGCCCTCGCTACGTTATCGCAAAGAACTATAGAGATTGAAGGAGTCGTGGCAAGGCTTCATAATGATGGAGCATCTGGGATGGCACAATCTAGGTTGCACCAGCCTCAAACTTCTGCACTTGGAGAAGCAACTTTGCCTCAGGTTCGATAAGCACCGCTGGTTCTACAACATAAAGAGCCTTGAGTTAGCCTTTCGGATAAGTTCGATGGTACACGTTCCAAGTTTTGAGGATTCGTCAACCAAATCAGGTTGATAACAGTTTTACAACCCAAACGCTATCCAACGAAGGAGTCACGTGTTCGGCTTGTTAGAACCTTACTTATAAGGCAAGTTCTATCATAGTTTGCTCCTTTGTTTGAGAAACGATCGTCCATACTAAACAACTTTGAAATCTTTTTGGAGGCATTTGGGGAAGCATTTGGTGAACACGACAAGGTTCGATGGGCTACAACAAAGATCCGGTCACTACGACAAGGGATACGCTCTACATTAGTCTATGCATCAGACTTCAGGCAATTAGCATGCGACATCAATTGGGATGAAGAAGCATTGATGAGTCAATTCTATTGGAGTTTAAGGGACGATGTGAAGGATTTGTTGTTAACTCTTCCTGATCTGCAAACGCTCAACGAAGCTATAAGCCAAGCTGTGAAGTACAATAACTGCCTATTCCAACGTCGCCAAGATCAACGTTCAAGACAACATACGATTCGCCACGCCCCAACTATATCGTCAAGCAGTGTGAATTCACATTCAGAGGTAGAAGACATGTAAATTGATGCGGTACGTGTCAAATCCCTTACTCTAGAAGAAAAAAAGTGGCGTATGGAAGAAGGTCTATGCTTGTATTGCGATGAAGAAGGCCACAAAGTTGGAAACTGCCCCAAGAAGTAAAATCGACGTATTGTCAGAATTAGGGGTACATTTTTTCAAGAAAATGAGGATGTCCAATCACAATAGGAACCGTGCGGCTGGCCAGTGAAATATCGCAACAAGAACCAGGTTCCTTTCTTTTCGCTCAACCTGCCCTTTGCTTTACAATCCCTTTGTTTATTGGCCCTCAAAAACTAAGAACCTTAGCATTATTAGATTCAGGAGCATCTACTTATTTCTTAGACAAAGAATTTATGAAGCATCATAAGATCCCTTTAGTACAAAAATCCAAACCTGTTCACGTTGAGGTCATAGATGGGCAACCTTTATTGTCTAGTAGTGTGACCCATAAATCAGAACCTATAGAAGTCATATTTAAGGGCCATAGTAGTCATATTATTTTTAATATTATTAGAACCCCATCAAATCCTGTTATTCTTGGTCTTTCCTGGTTGAAAACGCATAACCCATCCATAGATTGGAAGTTGCGGAAGATGACCTTTCTTACAAAACCACCCAA